CCTAAACCCCCTTAAACCCGAAACCCTAAACCCTTTCCGAGAGCTGAAAAAAACAGAATCCTGAACCCTGCTTCCCCCAATTGTACCATGCGGACGGAAAAGAGGTGTCAAGCAAAAAAAAAAAAAAGGAATCCCGCTTCCCAGGAATGCCTCCGATTGATCGATGGGGAGCTGAAGCGTCAATCCGTAGCGGTCCGCCGGCTGCGAGACTTTTCAAGGCTTTATAATCCCTAAACCCCTAAACCCTAAACCTCTAACCCGAAACCCCTAAACCGTAAACCTCTAACCCTAAAGCCCTAAACAGTAAACCCTAAACTCTAACCCCTACACCCTAAACCCGAACCCTCTACTAGTAGGGTTCAGGAATTAGGCTTGGGTTTAGTGTCTATATCGGGCCGAGCGACCCAGGGTTGTGGGGTTTAGGGCGTTTAGGGCTTCGGGGGTCTAGGGTTAAGGGGGTTTAGAGGTTTAGAGTTGAGGGAAGAGGGAAGAGGATGGGGGGGATACCAGCTTGAGCTCTAGGGTTTAGGGTTTAGGGTTTAGGGTTTAGGGTTTAGGGTTTAGGGCTGTAGTATTTTTTAGGACTTCCTTAGGGTTTAGGGGTGCTTAGTTTTTGTGTGTTGTACTTTCGGGTATTGATGGCTACTGTAGGGCATGTGATCACCACTGGAACTTAACATCAAAATCCAAACTGCTGGGTCCGAGACCCTCAACCATCACCCCTGAACCAGCCTAAACCCTAAAAACTGAATTCTCAGGTCCGTTTCGTCGCATGGGATTACGTGAAGTCTGAAAGCAACAATCTTTGCTATCTCTTCGTCTGCCCCGAAGAGCCTGATTTGAAGAAGGACCGGGGCGGTGTGGGAGTTTAGGGTTTTCGGTTTAGCCCTAAGCCCTAAACCCTAAACCCTAAACCCTGACCCTAAGTGCAGGGTTCAGGGGATTCGGGTTTGGGGCCTCAGGCTTTAGGGTTTAGGAGCTCAAACCTTAAGCCCCAAAACTTAAGCTGCTTCTGGGAGGGCTCTGAAAGTTGTAGTCTGAACGCCACAGCCCTGGACCCCAAACAATGTAGGGGCCTAAATAGTTACCAATACTGTTTTGGGGGGTTCCCTAATCTGAATATAGCAATATAGTATAATGGGCCCCAAAACCCTATTCTAATTATTAAGGCCTCTATATTACCGTAGACTCTCAACGCTGTACACCTTAAACACCTCAAGACAAACAAACGCTTCGAAAAGCTGAAACCGACCCTAAAAGCCCTACCTACCCCGCTCAAAACCTAAACCCTAAACCATGGCTTGGATGCTGCCCTCACTCGGCAACGGTTGAATGACCATGTGTGTATATATATATATATACACAAACAACATGGGTAAAAAAGGCACTCGCTTATAGACTGTGGGGACACTACTCGGAGGTCGGAAGAAAAACAACCCTCAGCCTACGACGCGAGACGCCCTGGGCCGAAGCCAGAAAACCCCTCAACCCCAAGCCAGTGCAAAACCCCTGGGATCAGTAGCAGGCCGACTTCAGAAGGAGCCGGGCTGACCTGTTCTGTACAATCTTATGGGGGCATTGAACTCCTAAAAAAGCCCTCAACCCGGAAACCGCAGAGACTTGAACCCAACACCCTACTGCAGAGAATGGCGCCCCCGAAATTGGCAGCAGGTCGGCTGGCAAAAATCGGCTTTGGTAGAAGCTGAGGGCTGGGTCACACATCCACTGCACCTGGGTGGCAATGAAAACGAGGTATATGCCTTAGGGCTCATGAGTTTGGGGTCGAGGTTGTGGTTTTCGGGTTTGGGGTAATTGCAGAATTTGGGGTATTTCCGAAAGTGACTAAGCTCTGGACGAGGCCTGGTGTGTCGCGATGATGCAAAAGCATGAATATACGGCAGTACTCCTCATGCTGCTTAACCTATTCAAGCTCCACTACATCCCGACACCCGGCTCAAACTCCTCAGAGGTACACCCGAAGCCTCCAAACCCTACTCCAGAACGCTCAATCCTGAAACGAGAAGTTT